CTGCAAGACCTGATCTAACTAAGAGGTCAAGGAGACATAGATCTGAATATATATATGTTAAACACTGGGTTAAATTTGACAGCCAGTTTAAGAGTAAGGGCAGTGATTAAGAATGTAAATAAACGACTGGTCATGAGATGTGGAGAGTTTGCTGGGAGTGTGAGGCTCGCTTCTGGAGGGCTTTGACCCCACTTGAGCACCAGACATCGTGAGGGGAAGCTGCACTCCGTGTGAGCTCCTGTTAGAGAGGAACCCCTAGTTGATGTACCTTCAAGAGGAAGGAAGTGTGCAGACGTTTCAGCTGTGGAATCAAGCTGGGAATCAAGTGTGGTCTCAAGTCCTGGACGACAGGAAGAGTTGTGAAGCCGTCCTGCTACATTTTCGTGGGCAGCAGTGCAAGCGCCCTGGTCAGGCGCCATCGAGAGAGAGAGAGAGCGCCCTGCAAGAGACCTTTTGTGGAAAACACAAGTTTAACCAGTTAATAGTGATTACCTATAGTTGGTCGTGTGCCCAGCGACCGTAGCCGATGTTTATTATTATGTTAGGCATGTTTTGTTAAGGCAGAAAGCCTAAATAAGAGAGTAGTAGCGAGAGAGCCAGCTGAGGGACGAGCGGCATATCCTCCCACGCCAAACACCAGAGGGCAACTGAGGGCCAGCCGCCAGCTGCCTCGAGGACCGCCCAGCGGGCGGAGGATGAACCAGCCCAAACGGTGGGGGAGTCCACACCCACGACGTTCAGGAGACAGAGAAATGTTGGGTGGAAACATTAATTGTGTGGTTTATTTTGTTTATGTGTTTATAGAGGAACATTTTTATTGGCATATCAATGGGTTGCAGGTTTGTTCTGAGGAAGGAGTTGATGGGAATACCCTGAGGCCAGAGAAGAAGTTGATGATTGGAACTTCAAGCCTGTAAGGGTAGATGTTGTACTCTGTGGAAGAGCAAGCCACATAGTGAGGAATTGTACCTCATACTGTGAGAAGAGGAGCAGTGAAGTCTCACATGGTTCTGTGGTAACGGTAGTGGAGTACCACTGGAGTCGAAGGAGAATTTCGTGGTGCAGCAGCCTAGAAGAGCTACAGAGGATTCTGGTAGATAAACCTGGAAGAACCTGATGATGTCAGGGTAGTGAACTTGCAGATGTGGGAAGGAAGTTCTTGTTGACTACTTGTAGGGAGTTGGTAGAGTGTTTGGTTGTCGTTAGCGTGCAAGACCCAGTGAAAGGTGGGTGATTGATTATCATTTCTATGTCAAGGAATACCTATACTGAAGTTTACAGGGAGTTACAGCTATAGGCTGGATTACCTACAGATATATATATATATATATATATATATATATATATATATATATAGTATAGGTATTCCTTGACATAGAAATGATAATATACCTTTCACTGGGTCTTACGCTAACGACAACCAAACACTCTACCAACTCCCTATAGTCAACAAGAACTTCCTTATCTGCAAGTTCACTACCCTGACATCATCAGGTGTTTATCTACCAGAATCCTCTGTAGCTCTTCTAGGCTGCTGAAATTCTCCTTCGTAGTGGTACTCCACTGTATATATATATATATATATATATATATATATATATATATATATATATATATATATATATATATATATATATATATATATATAAATATAAGCACGTGATTAAGAATGTGACAATGTCAGACCACGGAGGAAAATGAAACAGGAATTTCCTTAAGTACTCTCGTATATTAAATACATCTTCAGAAGGAATGAATTTAATATACGAAAGTACTTAAGGAAATTCCTGTTTCATTTTCCTCCGTGGTCTGACAATGTCATATATATATATATATATATATATATATATATATATATATATATATATATATATATATATATATATATATATATATATATATATATATATATATATATATATATATATTAGTATATTTTGGTAGCAGTCTTTCCTGTAGACATATATTATTAAACATGACCGAAAAAGTAAGATTAATAATTCTAACACGAATTTTCTCAATATTTCTTATGTTTCTTTTCACTGTCGATGGTAATTGAAAAATCAGATCTCCAAAATTCATTTTTATTTCTAGTCTGACACGACACTTGAACGTGTTTCGTAATAACTTATTACATTTTCAAAGACTTTAGTTTACACACACACACAACTATAACTTGCAAACACTAAACAGATTTCTTACTATGCTATAATTCAAACGGCTTTTCATTTTATATACTTGCATTTGGGTGAGGTGATATGTTACAACAGTTTTGGATGAGGTGAAAACAAACTTTCAACACAAGATAGAACACGAAATATTGGGTAAAGTTAAAGGGGAAGAATGGAAGTAAATGCAAAGGGCCTATTGGCCCATATTTCTTGATGCTTCTATATTGGTGCGGAGTCTTGAAGTGGGTAGAATATAGTTGTGCATTAATTGGCTGTTGATTGCAGGTGTTGACTTCTTAATGTGTAGTGCCTCGCAGATATCAATCCGCCTGCTATTGCTGTAGCTATTGATGATTTCCGTGTTTTTTGTTAAGACATCTCTGGTGATGGTCTGGTTGTGGGAAGAGATTATATGTTCCTTAATGGAGCCCTGTTGCTTATGAATCGTTAATCGCCTGGAAAGAGATGTTGTTGTCTTGTCTATATACTGAGTTCTTTGAGGCTTACAGTCCCCAAGTGGGCATTTGAAGGCATAGACGACATGGTCTCTTTCAAAGCGTTCTGCTTTGTGTCTGGAGAGTTTCTCATGAGTAGGTTGGCAGTTTTCTTGGTTTTATAGTAAATCGTCAATTGTATCTTCTGATTTTTGTCTGTAGGGATAACGTTTCTATTAACAATATCTTTCAGGACCCTTTCCTCCGTTTTATGAGCTGTGGAAAAGAAGTTCCTGTAAAATAGTCTAATAGGAGGTACAGGTGTTGTGTTAGTTGTCTCTTCAGAGGTTGCATGGCGTTTCACCTTCCTTCTTATGATGTCTTCAACGAAACCATTGGAGAAGCCGTTGTTGACTAGGACCTGCCTTACCCTACAGAGTTCTTCATCGACTTACTTCCATCCTGAGCTGTGGCTGAGAGCACGGTTGACATAAGTGTTAACAACACTCCTCTTGTACCTGTCTGGGCAGTCACTGTTGGCATTGAGGCACATTCCTATGTTTGTTTCCTTAGTGTAGACTGCAGTGTGGAAACCTCCGCTCCTTTCCATGACTGTTACATCTAGAAAGGGCAGCTTCCCATCCTTCTCCATCTCGTAAGTGAAACACAACACAGAATTCCGCTCAAATTCCTCCTTCAGCTCCTGCAGATGTCTGACATCAGGTACCTGTGTAAAAATGTCGTCAACATACCTGCAGTATATGGCCGGTTTCAAGTTCATGTCGACTAAGACCTTTTGTTCGATGGTACCCATGTAGAAGTTTGCAAACAGGACACCTAGGGGAGAACCCATGGCGACCCCATCTACTTGCTTATACATGTGCCCATCCGGGCTCAAGAAGGGTGCCTCTTTAGTGCAAGCTTGGAGTAGTTTCCTTAGAATGTTTTCTGGTATGTCAAGAGGAGTACAGGCCGGATCACGATACACTCAGTCCGCTATCATCCCGATTGTTTCATCCACAGGTACGTTGGTTAACAGTGAGTCTACGTCCAACGAGGCTCTTATCCCTGTGGCCCGTGTTCCCCGCAGTAAGTCAACAAATTCCTTTGGAGACTTCAGGCTAAAAGCGCAAGTGATGTAAGGAGTCAGCAAGCCGTTGAGTCGCTTCGTCAGTCTGTACGTGGGTGTGGGTATCTGGCTGATGATTGGCCGAAGTGGGTTTCCAGGCATGTGTGTCTTGACATTTCCATACGCGTATCCAGATTTGTATTCCCCAATAATCTTTGGCAGATGGAGTCCGGATTTCTTGGCGTTCACAGTTTCGATCAATTTGTTGACCTTTGCTTTCAATTCGGCTGTAGTGTCCTTCGTTGCCCTTTGGAATTTAGTTTAGTCAGAGAGTATGAGGTTCATTTCCGCCAGATATTCGTCTTTTTTAAGAATGACGTATATTGGCGACTTGTCACCTCTCCTGACGACTATCTCCTTGTTCTCACAAAGGCTCTTAGCTGCCGCTTTGAGCTCGGGGGACAGTATGGTGCTTCTGTAGTTGCCGCGATTCTTTCCTCCTTCTGTTATAAGTTCTGCTTGTAAGGTGTCCTTGGTGGTGACCTTCTTTTGTGTCTCGATGTCGAATATGTCGTCCAACAGGATTTCCAACTCCACTTTCCAGGCCATCTCACTTGGTCTGGACATAACGTGACAGTTTATACCCAGATTTAGTTTATACCCTTATATTACATGTGAATGCTTTGAATATGTTCTGTTTTGTTATTAAATCTGTGTAGTTAACAGGTGTCCTAGTGAGGCTTCCCAAAAAGTAGAAAAGAGAGAGAGAGAGAGAGAGAGAGAGAGAGAGAGAGAGAGAGAGAGAGAGAGAGAGAGAGAGAGAGAGAGAGATAAAAACCATAGCTGTAGACAGGGTAGTACGGAGCAATTTTTCAGAAAAGAGGATTGAGGAGGTCATACCAAATAAAGATAGAGTGGGGAGTCACGGCGGCTCGAGTGGGTGTGTGCACGTGACAACGAGGTCAGTATTGGAGCCACACCCCCCATAAACGTGTGATGTTGAACCCCCTCTCCAAGTACCAGAAGCACCCAAGGTGATCTCCTAGTAAAGTGTAAGCACCCAATGGAATCTTGGGTTGGTTGTCTGTAAGGAAGGACAGATAACCGACCAACATCAACATCACCATAATACTACTTACTGGTAAGTGAACAGGAGGTATCAGGGTGAAAGAAACTGCCCATTTGTTTCCGCCATCGCCTGGGACTGTTCCCCGTACATTAGGATTAGGAATCCCAAACACTGTCCACTCAGGCTCGCAAAATTTGTGTGTGTGTATCCTTGGTGAATATAATCACATTAAGGTTTATGACCTTGTCTTCCGGCAGAGATATGAGGTGGGAAGCTGTGGCGGGAGTTACCATGGCGACGGTTGTCGTGGCGACGGTGGCCAGCGTCGTCCCACAATGCCTCTCCGACAGTAGCAACTTCAGAAGTGGCAACTCCAAAAGTGTCAACACTGACCTCTCCGGCATCAACGACTTCAGCTTTGATCTCTACAGACAACTTTCCCGCAACACCCCGGCCGAGAACCTCTTTGTCTCGCCCTATAGCATTTGGACAGCGCTCACCCTGACCTACTTCGGGACGGCGGGAAGCACCAAGACCCAACTGGAAGCCGCGCTCAGAGTTACGGACAAGGCGTCAACACTGCGGTTGTGGCGCGCACTTGACGTAATGTGAGTAACGACTCTATCACCTCACTATATTATTATCATACACGATTTCTTCAAGCACATTATAACTTACACAAAACAATTATATTTCCCAGAAACATTTTTTTCAGGTGTTTCAAAACAATTGTTAAATTCCCAACACGTGTGTAAAACACATCCAACGGAAGAAACGGACTCCTGGTTCAACCTTAAAGCCGAGCGGACGTCTGGACACCTCCTCCGCCTAGGGGCCGCCTGGTCACGTCTTGTTTTCGTGTTTTGGCTATGCTACTGCCGTTTGGCATCCCTTTTAAGCGGTCCGATTGTACGACGCCTGGCGAACATATCGCCTTGGGTCACAGGATTGTTGATAGATTTTTTTTTTTTTTGAGTGTACTGGCTGGTTCTCCTGGCGGGGTGACGGTGTTCGGGGGCCTGCTTGGCCGAGAGGTGCCGGGGGTTGGCGGGTCTTGGTGGACTCCTGGTGTGCCCTCAGGCGTGGTGGGCGGCCGGCTTCTGCTCTGCCGGAGGACACTGGATGACTTTTTGCGTTTTAGTTGGGGACCGAGTTTTGGTTTTGCTACCTGGTGTTCTCTGTGTGGGGCGGGGCCTTTGCTTGTCACCTTGAGGGACTCCTGGGTCTCCCCAATCATCTACCTGACTGTGCGTTTATTTGCTGTATAGCATATTAATTTCTAGTGATTGGCGTCACTCGTTTTGCGATTTGGCTTGGCGTTCCACCTTTCCAGGCTTCGCGAATCACCCTTAACGGGTACGCCGGGGCGCATCCGATCCTACGATCGTCATCGCCCCTAAATCAACGCAACAATAACAACGGAAGAAACATGAACAACTGATACAGGTTCTAAACTATGTTACGAGGCATTAGAAATAAAGAAATAAAGCAACAGCAATGGCTAAAATAGCCATCGATGTTCCCAAACAAACAAATTAACCAAACCAAACCATCAATTAACAAACGTCTTGTAGAAAACTGTAGAGCAACCTCAGATGATTAGTGAGTACCAAGCAACACCCACAACACACAATGGATACCAAACAACACACACCAGCACACAATGGATACCAAACAACACACACCAACGCACAATGGGTACCAAACAACACACACCAGCACACAATGGGTACCAAACAACACCCACCAGCACACAATGGGTACCAAACAACACACAATGGGTACCAAACAACACCCACCAGCACACAATGGGTACCAAACAACACACAATGGGTACCAAACAACACCCACCAGCACACAATGGGTACCAAACAACACCCACCAGCACACAATGGGTACCAAACAACACCCACCAGCACACAATGGGTACCAAACAACACAAAATGAGTACCAAACAACACACAATGGGCACCAACCAACACACACCAGCACACATTGGATACCAAACAACACCCCTCGTGTCTGGGGTGCCCTCTGTGTCCGGGGTGTCTTCCGTGCTACCATCACCACCACTACTACTACCATCACCACCACTACTACTACCATCACCACCACTACTACTACCATCACCATTAATACTACTGCCATCACCACCAATACTGCTACCATCACCCCCACTACTGCTACCATCACCACCACTACTACTACCATCACCATTAATACTACTACCATCACCACCACTACTGCTACCATCACCATTAATACTACTACCATCACCATTAATACTGCTACCATCAACACCAATACTGCTACCATCACCACCACTACTACTACCATCACCACCAATACTACTACCATCACCACCACTACTACTACCATCACCATTAATACTACTACCATCACCATTAATACTACTACCATCACCACCACTACTGCTACTGTCGGAAAATCCGACAGCATTTAATATATCATACAGACAGATAATAGCTGTATTGTATAAACAAGTTACCCATAGAAAACGTAACTTGTAGTGGAATTACCGTCTATAGAAAACGGGATATCATCACCACATACTATTATAAATCACCACCTATTATGGTGGGAATTATTCTTAAATACATTAGTCTTTGGACTTTACCATCATAAAAACATCTCATATAAATTAACTTAATTATCAATATTAAAGTAGAGTAAATGTGACCCTTCTATCACTTTCTGTCATCTGGACAATGTAAGCCAGTAGCATCAGGGGTGAGGGAGGGGCAGCCATTGTTGTTGTCACCTCCGAGACGCGTGGAGCAAATTCGGCTCCTATTATATCTGGACAATGTCGGCCAGTAGCGTCAGTAGTATGGAGTGTTAGACATTGTTTTTGTTGATACTAAGACCAGAGGCTCACGGGAGAAAATTCGGCTCCTGTTAATTTTACTTGGACGAAGTGTTATGGAAACCAAAGGTGTACCATTATCAACACGCTGTCAACAAATCAAGTTAAGTTCTTTCCGAAACCCATGTATCTTTCATTTATGGCCATTAATGTCATTATATAGGGTGATCCAGTTAGAGCACGTGGTAGCCTCAAACTAAAGGTAATTATGCCAGGTCTTCATTGTTCCATGTACAGTGTTTCTCTGATATACCTGTCATACATAGGATTCTGGCTTTACAGCTAGCGCCCTTTTGACAGGTCAAGACGAGGAAGCATGCTTTGTGCATCAGTTACCAGGGTGATGGAAGCTACCTCAAAGAGGGAAAATGTGGTGTCTACAACCTAGTTATACCTGGTGGACTAACCTGCTGTACTATAAGATAAGGAACCTTTTCAATGTATGTAGTCTAATACTGTAGTTTGATTGGCTGCATATATATAAATTAAATTTATATAAACCCCCCTAATGTGTAGAGGATCGATTTGTGAGATTATGAGATTATTGCAGAAATACAGTCCACTTATCATTATACAAATTGCTATCGAAGTATATAAATTAACGTAAATATAAATTCATATAAATTAAATAAATATAAATCTCACAGGTCGGTTCCCACAGCTACCATCACCACCAATACTGCTACCATCACCACCACTACTACTACCGTCACCATTAATACTACTACCATCACCACCACTACTACTACCATCACCACCACTACTGCTACCATCACCACCACTACTACTACCATCACCATTAATACTACTACCATCACCATTAATACTACTACCATCACCATTAATACTACTACCATCACCACCACTACTACTACCATCACCATTAATACTACTACCATCACCATTAATACTACTACCATCACCACCACTACTACTACCATCACCATTAATACTACTACCATCACCATTAATACTACTACCATCACCATTAATACTACTACCATCACCATTAATACTACTACCATCACCACCACTACTACTACCCTCATCACTAATACTACTTCCATCACCACCACTACTGCTACCATCACCACCACTACTGCTACCATCACCACCACTACTGCTACCATCATCACTAATACTACTTCCATCACCACCACTACTGCTACCATCACCATTAATACTACTACCATCACCACCACTACTACTACCATCACCATTAATACTACTACCATCACCATTAATACTACTACCATCACCATTAATACTACTACCATCACCATTAATACTACTACCATCACCACCACTACTACTACCATCATCACTAATACTACTTCCATCACCTCCACTACTGCTACCATCACCACCACTACTGCTACCATCACCACCACTACTGCTACCATCATCACTAATACTACTTCCATCACCACCACTACTGCTACCATCACCACCACTACTGCTACCATCACCACCACTACTACTACCATCATCACTAATACTACTTCCATCACCAGCACTACTGCTACCATCACCACCACTACTGCTACCATCACCACCACTACTGCTACCATCACCACCACTACTACTACCATCACAACAGTAGGGAAAGTAGGGAAATTGAGGACTAGAGACGTCCATGGCTACCTGGGCAGGTGGACAGGTGGTCCACCTAAACCCAGGTGGTGTGGGTGCGAACCGTCTCAGCACTGTGAGTGGTGCCCCGGGGCTATCACACACAATGTCATAATGACTGTGAGGGGTCAGATGAGATGTGGAAACATTCATGTCGTATGATGAGGTGACGGGCTGGCTGCCTGTGTGTAGCCCATTTTACATCAAATAATTGTTATGAGGATCAACTCATTACCTTAACGTTTTAGGAAAAAACAGACCCCATCTCCCCTCCTGGGTGAGTCTAGTTCATTGGCTGGAAACAAGATATTAAGAAAATGGTGCACAGGTGTCCTCTGACGTAATGATGAGTACTATGACCGGTGACATCAGATGGTGTGGTTATGAGACAGGGGAGTAGGTCCAAACTGTCAGTACTCTCACTCCCTTTGATCGCAGAAGTCGTAACGCCTGACCACACCTCTAGAGGGTGTTGGGTGACCTCATCCTGTCACAGCTGTTGATGCGGTTGGGGCACACACACGCACATTTTTTTTAACTCTCACTCAGAGACTTTGGTGATGGATCTCAATGCATCAGGAAAATTATTATTATGCCCTATCCACGAGAGCTGGGTGAGATATGTTCATCATGTTGAACACTCAGACAGACCGAGTGAGAATTTGTATGTGGGAACATATTAACTGAATATAATAGCAGATGTGTTTACTTTCCCTATCTACTGATGTTTTTGAGGAGAAATGCAGGAAGACCGGCGGAGAGATGGTGAGAAGGTGACTTAGGGAATTGGACAAGTGATAGGTGACAGGGCAGGTGGTGCCAGGTGAGAGGGATGGCCCCCATACATCACATTATCAACCCTCCCTACACCGAGAGCACACACTTCGACTACATCTCCGAGTTTTAACCTGTGGCGAGAGTGAGACATCCTTTAGATTGGCTGTGTGGCTTTTAAATGATTGACGCCTGGTTTGATGTATGTAAATAATTGGTGTGCCGAACTCAACACACCATTTTAAGTGTTTCCTCTCGCTCTGTGGTCTACATAATGTTCATGAAATATTACTATAGCCTTTGCATAGAACAGACCTTAAGCAGTTTAGCGACAGGTGATGGATGGAGGGAGGGAGTCTTGGAGCTGGGGGTGGGTACCATCGGATGTGGAGTGAGTAGGGGAGAGTGTGTGACTGACACTGGTCATTAACCTCCCAACCTCTGGTTAGTGAGGGTGTAATGGCTGACGTCTGCGTATCATCTGATAGAGGCGTGACAGAGAGAGATCTCGACAGAGGTCCTTTGGTTAATGTGCGTTTTTTTTAACTCTCCGAGGTTGAGTGAGGGATAGTGGACACCCTCTGTGGACTACAAATGAACCAGAAATATTGTTATGGTCCTGCAGATGTCTCTGGTACTACAAAAAAACTATATGAGCATCCCTTCCACACCTTATCTTGAGGTTATCTTGAGATGATTTCGGGGCTTTAGTGTCCCTGTGGCCCAGTCCTCGACCAGGCCTCCACCCCCAGGAAGCAGCCCGTTACAGCTGACTAACACCCATGTACCTATTTTACTGCTAGGTGACAGGGGCATCAGGGTGAAAGTAACTCTGAAACTTGTTTCTCTCCGGCGCTCGGGATCGAACCCGGGACCACAGGATCACAAGTCCAGTGTGCTGTCCGCTCGGCCGACCGGCTCCCCCGCTCGGCTGACCGGCTCCCCGGCTCGGCCAACCGGCTCCCCATACTTACCTTATTAGCCTTAATACATTATTCTATCTATCTATCTTTTTATCTATTATCTATCTTACACTCCTAGGCACACTCGTCTCCTTCCTCTCTTTTTAAAGTATGGTTCCCACCCTCTGAACGATGGCGAATAGCTGCGTATTTTGCATCCCGTCAGCACATTTTGCATCATGTTTACACATTCTGGGATCACGTCTGTTCATTCTTGGATCATGGCTGCGCATTTTGCATCCCGTCCGCACATTTTGCATCATGTTTACACATTCTGGGATCACGTCTGTGCATTCTTGGATCATGGCTGCGCATTTTGCATCCCGTCCCCTACATCTGTACACACACGGACAAGATATAAATCTACACACTCTAAACACACTTTCGTACCCAGATTAGGACTAGACACGTCCGTGGAGGGCACCACTCACAGCCCTGAGATTGTTCGCCCCCACTCCACCTGGGCTTAGATGGACTACCTATCACCTGCCAAGGTGACCACGGACGTCTCTAAGCCTCAATTTCCCTACTACCATCACCATCATTACTGCTACCATCACCACCACCACTGCTACCATCGCCATCACTATTACTTCCATCACCACCACTGCTGCTACCATCACCACCACTACCACTACCAACACCATCACTACTGCTACCATCACCTCCACTACTGCTACCATCACCACCACTGCTGCTACCATCACCACCACTACCACTACCATCACCACTACAGCCAGGCTCTCCCCCACACAGGTACGCCCAGCGAGCCAAGAGCCAGCCCCAGTACACCTTCAACATCGCCAATCGTGCCTACTTTGACGACCTCCTTGACCTGCGACCTTGCATCTCCACCATCCTCCGCAAGGAGCTCCAGATGATCGACTTCTCAGACGTCAGAGATCGTCTTTTTACTCATTATCAATTTAACTAACCATATTTGATTTTTTGTGATGTTGCCTTTCTTGCCCAAACAATGTAATAACAATAAACCCTTCCATTGTGGCCGACATCATATGACAATTTTTGGTCCACTCGAGCTTACATTATATAAAGTTATTTGCTTTAGAAATTTATAAAACTGGGATCTGCTTATAAATATCAATTATTATAAAGTTTTGACATCCCTCTGGCTATTACTACCTAATAAATTGATACATCTTGTTATTATACATAAAGTTATTAATTATACATAAAGTTATTAATTATACACAAAGTTATTAATTATTAATTTTTGGGCACGTGAATTCATCATGCCCAAAAAATCGTTAAAATATTAATTTGAGAAAACTGTGTATTATTTGTTCTTCTCACTCACATCTATTTTAATTTCCCCTCATCCCCACAAAAAAGAAAATGTAAAATAAAAAGAAATGCTTTTACGAAATTTCGGAAACTAATATCCGATCTACAATTAATGAATATAATAATCTGTTTATACAAGAAAGAACATAGTATTCTCGGTATTTTAACTCTTCACATTCAAATTAGAAACTCATATAATTATTTGTTTAGGATGTTTTAGGATTACACACCCGCTTGTGTGCATGAGTGTGTGTAACACCTGGAACGTGAGACGTGCGCACTCCAATTACCTGGTTGATACCTGGTTGATGGGGTTCTGGGAGTTCGTCTACTCCCCAAGCCCGGCCCGAGGCCAGGCTCGACTTGTGAGAGTTTGGTCCACCAGGCTGTTGCTTGGAGCGGCCCGCAGGCCCACATACCCACCACAGCCCGGTTGGTCCGGCACTCCTTGGAGGAATAAATCTAGTTTCCTCTTGAAAATGTCCACGGTTGTTCCGGCAATATTTCTTATGCTTGCTGGGAGGACGTTGAACAACCACGGACCTCTGATGTTTATATTATTATTATTAATTAATTATTAACGGTGTTAGCTTGTTTTCTCACAACTAGCTTCTTGAATCAATAAATAAGGCTTATCAGTTACTTCCCATTGTTTATATTGTTCCAGTTTATAAGGAAATAAGAAAATTGCTTAACAGTTTTAACCTTTTAGTTGTAAAATAAGCGTTAGTAGTTTTCAAAACACTCTTGCAATGACTGATAATATGTAACATTCCTGTATGCATAATGACTGATATTATCTTCACTATTAACCAGAATGGGGATTTAATGCTGTCATGAAAAATACATATTCTGTTGCATTTCTAAATATCATTTACAAAATAAAAATTACATATAACAAACAACAAACAAGATAAAGGCACTCACAAGGCCATCTCCACAAACCTTATTACTTTTCTCTTCATTTATTCTGGTACTAGTTGTACCCGGCCACGCGTTACTGTGGCTCAGCAACACATGTGCGTTGCTGAGCCACAGCAACCTTCCCCTGTCTCTCAGTCCTCCACACCGTTCCCCCCTCCCCCATCCCCTCATCCTTCCAACCATTCCTCACATCCTCGTCCCCTCATCCTCCTAACCATTCTCCACACCCCTGTCCCCTCGTCCTCCCCACCATTCTCCCCCATCCCTTTGTCCTCCCCACCATCCCCCTCTCCAGCATCCCCTCATCCTCCTAACCATTCCCCACTCCACCATCACTGCGTCCTCCCCACCATTTCCCACTCCCCTGTCCCCTCGTCCTCCCTACCATTCCCTCCTCTCCTGTTCCCTCGTCCTCCCCATCATCCTCCTGTCCCCTTGTCCTCCCCATCATTTCCCACTCCCTCGTCTGATGCATTCCCAAATGATGAGATGTTTCCATCAGAAAATTGTGAACATCAAATGATCTGATGTTCACATCACTGAAATATAAGAAAAACAGTTAAAAAACAAAATGAAAAACAATGAAAAAATAAAAAATCAACTATACTCAGGCAATGAAGGGTATGGTAGAAACACAGCTCAATTTCAATGCAACATCACACAAAATAATTAAATCAATTTGAAAATAAATCGAAATCTCTGAAAATTCAATTTGCCAATGTAATTGAAAACATTGAAATGGAATTGTAATATATTTAGTTCAGTGTGTGTTGTTCTTACTTGCAACAGATGGCGCTGTTTCTTAAAAAAGAATATTTTAACCTGTCACAGGTGTGGCGTCTATACCTATACTTACGAAATGAATGGTATAGTAAACAGCACAGCTTAATTCTAATGCAATGTCACACAAAATAATTAAGTCAAAGTGAAAATAAATCGAAATCTAATAAAATTAAATTTATCAATGCAATCGGAAACACTGAAATGGAATCGTAACATATTTAGTAAAGCGTGTGTTGCTATTACGTGCAACAGATGGAGCTGTTTTTCAAAAGAAGCAAATTTTTATCTGTCACAAGTGTGTGGCATCTATATATTAGGTATATAAAAACACACGCATATTCGAATGGAACGTTGTGTCAAAATTTCAAACCAATCGTTGAAGAACTTTCAGAGATTACAGCGTGTGTTGCTCTTACATCCAACAGATGGCACTGTTTTTAAAACAAAAGCATGTTTTTTCCTGTCACAGGTGAGGCATGTATATAGTAGGTATATAAAAACAGGCGCCTATTCGAATGCAACGTTGTGTCAAAATTTCAAAGCAATCGGTAAAGAGGTTTCGAAGATTTCGCTCACAGGAAAAACACATGACAACCCCCTGTTTATGAATGAAAAACAGTTTACATACGATTCAGAACTGATTTCGTTCGAGCACTTCCAGAACAAGTGCTTCACTGATGAATTTTGTTCGAACTACAACGCTGTAAATGCTTCACCTACGTACTACAAATACAAATAATCGCCAACAGAGCCTAAGCACCTAACCTAATCTATGCCTATATATGCACAATATGCTAATATTTTATAATATTAATTTATATTGAGAAAATTCCCGTTTTGAATGAACAGCATGTAAAAATTTATGAATGTGTCTGAAGTCCATTATGAATGTAATGGACTTGAGTCGACGAGGGGTTGTACATCTAGCGGTCGACCCCACAGATGCATTCATAAATTTTTACATGCTGTTCATTCAAAACAGGAATTTTTTAATGAACACTGATTTTATTGTCCACCCCTGAAGGTTATCAAGGCCTTGCTGTAACTTCCTGTAGTCCTCCTCTATTTTTATATTACTTACCCAGTCCATCCTCAGAGCAAATCCATTACTGTGAGAAACCACACCCTTCCACCTCAAACCACCTGGATAATTTATCCAGGTGTTTCACTGCGTTTGGTCCCTGAGGACACGTTGACTCTTCCACCTCAAACCACCTGGAAGGGTGTGGTTTCTCACAGTAATGGATTTGGTCTGAGGATGGACTGGGTAAGTAATATAAAAATAGAGGAGGACTACAGGATGTTACAGCAAGGCCTTGATAACCTTCAGGGGTGGACAAATATATGGTTCCTGGAATTCAATCCCACCATGAACTGAATTCTAGCAACGTTCTAGATCATCACAACTAACTAGATAGTTGTGATGATCTGAAAGCATATTACGGTTTCAGTAATAGTCTACATGTAAACTGGCAAATTAACATTTGTCGTAAACCAGAGATTATTCTTAAGTTATAACATTAATGTAATAGAAAACATTAGTTAAAAATATGAAACTGTAAGCTGAAGACGTTTTTTTTTTTTTAAGAATTTGTGTTTTCTGTAAACGGAATTCATGGGCAAACTGAGACAGTTTTTGATTTCCGTATTTCACATTAACGTCAATAATACATGATATTAACGTAACAAACGCAATGAAACCTAACCTAACCAAACCTTAACATAAAATAACCTTGGATAGAGTAGAAAATAGCACAAATGATGTAGTTGTTCCCAATCCATTCCCTTGAGGTGATCACCTCCCTGAGGACAAGTTTACTCATCAGCTTTGCATCTTCTGCAAATATAAATACGTAAGAGCTCACTCCCTCGGTAAGTCGTTCACATAAATTAGGAACAGCAGCAGTCCCAGGACCAGGACCAAACTTGAAACCTTCTCTCTGTGACTTTTTCTGTCCTCGCTTTTCCAGACCTTCAAATCGCATACTATTAGAATTTTAGTTCTTGTTCCCCTTGCCACTGTGACTGCATTTTGCTGTGCTTTAGGCAAATTCGTTGAGTTTATCATATTCTTCCTTTGATGGGGGACTGAAAATCTCCAATACCGCTAATTCCACCTGCATTTGTCTACATTACTTTTATATTACTCATCATAACTAGCCTGCTTTTATTTTTCCTATTGTTCATGTGGCTGTATCTCCATGTCTCACTGGGGAAAGGAAGGGGGGGGGGTATGATTATCTAGTTACTCGTTCCTGCTCGTTTGTATAGGTGCCATATGAGGCTGGTCAACCCTACCATCTGCCTCTGTAGTACTCTCTCTTGCTTCATTATGCTGGAGAGCCCCACTATCTCCCTCTGCAGTATTCACTGCTCTCAGGTTTGTTTCTTGTTCACTGCATTCCCTGATACTCTTTGCTGTCTCCCTTTCTGTCTAATAAACATTCCATGGAAATTTTCATCCCTCAAATATCTCTCTTGATTTTTCTGCCAGTATATATTTAACTAGTTCGCTGTTCATAAAACTATATTTCACTGATCGACATCTTTTACTCTGAAACGTACTTAGCCTGAAAAATAGTCCATTTCCATTGTTTCATCTCTAGCCTGAATTTTCTGAAGAGTTTGTTGCTTCATTTTGGACTTTTATCCTCATTTGTTATGTCTCTCCTTATGACTCTGATCGATTGTATATTACCCGAGAGATTTCCCTCTCCAACTCCTGCCTTGTACATTTCTTGACTTGAGTACTCACAACTTCTAACACTGTTGCATTATCTCCTTTCCCTCTGAACCTTTTGTTGCTTCAGAAAAGACTTTATTTGACTCCCCAAGTCTTAGTTACGTACTATATTTGTTTTTCTCTTCTGTTAGACTACTTACTCTCTTTTTTAGCCTTCCCTTACCCCTCCATCATTTAATATTGTTCTGTAACTCATTTATATTTGCACCTCTCATCTGAGATTTCTTTCAGATCCCGTACTTGCTTCAAGGATGCAATACAGAGTTAGTCACGCCTGTCAAGTTTTACATTTAGGTCTTCAATGATCTCATTCTTTTTTTCTACTCTCGCCTGTATTTTATTAATTTGCTTCCCAGAGAAGCTACCTCTTCTTTCCACGTTTTTATCTCTTCCTCCCTTTTCTTTCGGTGTATAAGAACGGACCAATACTTAACCTGCGAGTCAAGACGTACCACATGCCTCTTGACAATATTATTTTATGTTACTTGCATCCCTTTCGTGTCATTTCACCTTCTGCTAGCCACTTATCACATATTTTCTTCAATATAGGTGTGGGTGTATTTGAGGACAGGGAGGGAGTGCTGTTGATGGTCTTGCTTCTGGGCTTTGGGGACAATAGCACTTGGAGGACAGTATATCAGTTGCGAATTATTCCCTAACTTTGCTGGTTGTTTATGATGTCGAACATTTAAGATGAATTCTTTTCATCACCAGCTTCATAGAGCCTCGGCCACCATCAACGAGTTCGTGTCCACCACCACCAAAGGCCACATTCCGAATCTGGTGAGCCCTGAAGACATGGCGGACGCCGTCATGATACTCATCAACGCCGCCTACTTCAAGGGCACCTGGAGGTACCAGTTCAAACCCTCGCACACACAACCCAGGCAGTTCTTTGTCTCCCCCGGCCACTCTGTCGACGTGCCCATGATGAAGATCAAGGCCAAGTTCAGGCTAGGTTAGGTTAACACAGTTTATATTTAATTTTATTACTGTCATTATCTCTTTTTCTTTACTTTCAAAGTAATAAGACTATTATTTTAGCAGACAAAGACCAAATCACTGAAATCATACCACCTCTATACAATTGTACATTACATATCTCTCTCCACGTCAGTTCATTCAACGGAGCTGCGTGCCAGAGTTCTGGAAGTGCCCTATGCCGGCGACGCCATCTCCATGTTGCTGCTTCTGCCGGATTTAGAAGGAGTGGAAGGGTTCTCACACACGGTGTCAGCGCTCGCTTCCAACACCCTACTGGAGGTCACCAAGGGGAATGTCCAAGCTGTGACGGTCGACCTCCTCCTACCCAAGTTTAAGATGGAACAGATGTTCAATGAGGACTTGATGGAGGTAAGACAGGGAGAGAAGGAAGGAAGGGATAGAGAGAGCATGGTGGGTAAATTATACAAATATTTGACATAAGATATGTAGTAAACTCTTACACAACTGAACTTGTGTATATATTTTAAGCTAATAAAAACCCAAGTCTTACTTAAAGGAATGCCAGGGATGCATAAAAAATGAGACATATTCAAAGAGATAAACAAAGAAACAATGAGACTGAAAGACAGAAACCACTGCAAAAACCAATACCATAATTAACACCCTTTGTGTCCCTTCCCTGACCAGGGCCTCAAGAACCTGGGCATCCGTGACCTGTTCAACAGTAGTTCAGCCGACCTGTCGCAGTTCTCAGTCAACAAGGAGCTCGTCGTCAGCAAGACTATCCACAAAGCTTTCGTCGAGGTGAATGAAGAAGGGACAGAGGCCGCAGCTGCGACGGCGGTGTTGACGTATGTCAGATCCGGCTTCAACAGGGCGCATAGTTTCGTCTGTAACAGACCGTTCTTGTTCCTCATTCACGACAACCAAACGAAGAACGTTCTGTTCATGGGAGCTTACAAGAAGCCGCTGACAGGCTCCTACAGGAGCACCCAGACAGACAACGGGAATAGCTGTGCAACAAATATATAGCCACAATGGATGAGATCATTTGTAGACAGAGGCATGAATTTAAAGAAGAGAGAGAATCAACGAGAAAAAGACAGAAAAATGGTAGATTAATAACGCGGAGACAGAGAGAAAGATAGTTTATATAGAGACGGGCACCAAGGCTATGAATGAGAATCATGATAAGCAATCACACAAGGTCACCTCGAAGACGAATTAAGACAAAATTGACATCGATACAAATATAATATACAGATGAATAGTCATGTTGGTCGATGTTGCAATAACAGACATTATTTAATGTCAAATAAGAAAATACATATATGTTCCCTATTATCAAGTTCTAAATATATTGTTAAAACTTAATTAGCCCGTGATTTAACCTATACATTTGATAAGCAATATTAATCGCTCACTATTAAGAAATTATAAATACATTTCAAAAGTTAATTAGTCAATGATTTAACAAATAAAATCGATAACAATATAAATTATAATATTATTACTATATAATTAAATATCGTTGTCTTTGTAACTGCTGATAAGAAGTGTTTATATGCAAGACATGTTGAAAGTTTGAGAGCTGTGTATATTGTGTGAGCAAATGTTAAGAATATACACACGGTATTACGAAGAGAAATGTAAATGCTTAGGTGAGATATTACCACACCACAAGCTTTCAAGTGGTGTGAGAGTGTAACACAATATACTTTTAGTGTGAGGTTATGCTGCAACACTTTTAGTGTGAACTTAAGACGCATTAAATGAGAACTTAACACAATACTCTTAGTGTGAGCTTATGACAATACAAATACCTTTAGTGCGAGCTCTTACGGCGTTCGGATTTATTCTACCACGACTTCCAAGTGTTGCTCAGACTGTATCAGCTGGACAGTGACATTGTAAATGATCTACACCGTAGGTTAAAAGAAAGACTAAAACCATTGAGAACACTTACTGGTAAGAAGTAAGTCCGTTTTATGCCCGAAACGCTTTGCGTAATAGTGGCTTTAGGCATTGTATGTACTAGCTCTACCTATAAGTCAAACAATCCTTGTAAATATTTATTGTATGTATGTACCTTACCTAAATAAAATTGTATTGTATTGTATTGTATAAGAATATTGGTATCAATATTAAATATGCTAGACTATTCTATATGATGTTTGTTAGATCTCTCGTTGATTATAATGCTTTTCACTTAATTAATTTCCCCTCCTCTGTGTTGGACAAACTTGAAGTAGTACAGAATGAAGCCATGAGGATAATTCTTGGTGCCCCAAGATGCACAAGAATCATCAACATGCGGGAAGAACTGAAGCTTCCAACCATACTAGAGAGAATCATGCAAGTCAACACTACCTTTTGCCTTAAAGTCATGAGAGATCCTACATCTCCTGCATTGCTCAGAGACAAAATATTTAGTGCTGTTAACACCCTATTGACTGGTGCCGACATACCAACTCACTCTTTTTATGATAAATGGCTGAGCAGCAATGCTTACAATCTCATTAAACTTAACATTCCTTTTAAGTGCAATCTACCTGTCTCTGATATTCCTCTCTATCTATACCCCACCATTCAAGTATCATACACACCTGTCATCAAGAAAGATAATGAGAATCTTGCTCTTCTCAAAGCTGTCACACTTGAAACAATTGCCTCCTCCATCGAGAATTTAAGATCTCACGAGCACTGTGTCTACACCGACGGCTCAGTCCAATCCTCTACTGGACGGACTGCAGCAGCATGTAGGTTTTATATAAATAATATTTGCACAAAGACTGTCAGTGTCAGGTTAAACAACTGGCTGACCTCCACACAAGCAGAACTAGCAGCATTACACCTAGCTACCAGTACATTAAAAAACATTGGAGGAGGAATAATATTTTGTGATTCAAAGTCTGCTCTTCAAGCAATCGAAAACTTCTCTTGGTAGATCGACAGCAAGAACCTCATACTCCCAATTATAAATGACCTAATTGCTGCACAGAGTAAAGGGTCTCGAATCTCCTGTGTATGGATACCTTCACACATAAATATAACCCATCATAATGAGACAGACATTGCAGCCAAATTAGCGTGTAACAAGGATGAAGTTGAATTAGATATAGGTATCCCCATCTCTGCTGTCAAAACTGTATTGGTCCAAACACTCAGATCTGATAAGAAAGAAATTACTGACTCCCAACGACCTGAAAGTACTAGTATAAAAAGCTATGATCTGTTCAGATCTGAAACCTATATCTATGGGCAGCACAAAACGTCCACTAGACTGTGCGACACAGTGGTTGCAAGGATCAGGTTGGGTTACCGTTACCTGTGGCAGGTGGCTGCAGGTGACGGATCTCCCAATCCTGAGCACTCCAGTTGCAAACTCTGTGACCAGGAACTACGGCACGATCTCCCGCACTACATCACCGAATGCGCAGTTATTAGACCTTTCAGACCAGTTGGCATGAGTTACCTGGAGCTTTGCAATTACTTTATTCACTCTCGTATTCTTGAAGATATCCTCACAGTGTACCCAAAATTTGCCAGTGCAGGCTACTAAACATATGGCCCTGTATGACTAACCATCCTGCGGGATGTGGACTTTTATTACCACTGCTGCCTTATTCAATCTTGTGTTGATGATATCCTCAAAATGCTTCTGGAGTCTGCCAGTGCAGACTGCCTATCACATGCCTCTGTATGACTAACCATCCTGTGTGATGGGGATTTTTTAGCATCACCTAGTTAGCTTTTTTGACACACTGTACTCCACTTCATATAATCTAGGGTAGCTGCACTAATGCAGATGTATCTCATGTATTAAAAAAAAAAATGGCAGAACTATGTAAGTGGGACCCTCCATGGGAGCAAAGATGGAACGACACGAGGAGAGATATTGCTACCATGGACTGAGAGGGAATCTTGCAAGAGAGACATCCGTACAGAAAAAGGAAAGTGGTAAAAGAGAAGAGGACCCACAAGAGGAGTCACTGTCAGAGCACGAGTGAGGATGGTGCAGGGACCGCGCAAGGTAGCGAAGGCAGTAACGATCATATAGAGACAGAACTCCAGTTTCAGCATACAGGCTCAGGTTGGGGATGAATGAAAGGCACCAGAGCTGAGGCGTAACCCAGTATAATGCAGAGCATCAAGAAGATGAAGAGTCGCTGGAGAGATGGAGGAGTAGTCGGGGCAGCCATAATCGAGAGAGGAGTGCAGACAGAGGAGTGTGCGCCTCTCAGCTTCCCTGGAAGTATGAGACAAGACTAAGTAAAGTCCTTAGAGCATTCACCTCGGAAGTCAGATATACGAGGTGACCAAGACAAACTAGAGTCAAAGATCAACCCCAAAAGTTTGGCTCAATCTTTATACAGAAGGGGACTACCACAGAGCGACAGTGGTGGACGAAGAACGACCTGCTACCGAGTAAAAGTTATACCACATGTCGTAGTTGTAGAGAACTTGAAGCCGTGTTCGGCTTCATGTTCTCTCTCTGGTTTTGCTATGTCAATGATATTTTTGCTTTTTGGCCTAGACCTTAGTCTTTTCCAGCCTTTCTTCTCCTCTCTTAACATTCTGGCTCCTATCAATTTCAAAGTTGAATGGGAATCTAATTCCCTTCTTCCTTTTCTTGACGTTCATGTTCACAGCTCTGTGTTCGGGTTCTTTTTCTCTGTGTACCGCAAACCCATGCATAGTGGTATGCACATTTACCTATTTTCCTACCACTCTCCTTCTGTTAAGAAAAGTGTTCTCGTCTCTCTCTTTATTTACAAATCTTACTCTCGCCTTAGTTGCCCCTTAAATTTTATCACCTGCATATTCTCAAGCTGAACGAAATTTCTTTCATCCCAAACTTAACAAATTTCTAACAAACGTGACAAGACATAGCCTACCCTCCCTTTCTCTTTCCCTTATTTTCTCTTTCTCTTTCTTGTTCTTTCTCCTCTTATTCTTAGTTTTCCATTCTTCGGTTCCCCCATTATTACACCCATCCCATTCATACCTTTCTTCTTGTTCTTACATTTTGCCTTGCTCTTACCTTCTAGGAATTACCTCCTCTTACCTGCTCCTCACCTCACTGTTGCTCCCACTCCCTCCCTATCAGCTTATTCATGCCTGTACCACCTCGTGGGTGGCTTAATCTTTATCAAACAATCATCAATCAATATCGCTCCCTTCACAATCGACTTGATAATGGTCCAGGACGGACCGAAACGTCGTCGTGTCCTCATTTTCTGCTGTGTGGTTTGGTCAATATTTGGGTAGTCATTTGTGGACCGTAGCAGCTAATATATCTCTCTCTCGCTCTTTCACTCCCTCTCTCTCGCGTGATTTTTTTTTTTGGTTAGTTCTAAGAGGAGCCTAAAGTGCGTCTTAATCTATAATGGAAATTCATATAGTCCAGTTCTCATTGGTCATTCAATACATCTCAAATAAGAATACGGACACACCTAAATAATTCTAGAGTTACTCAAACATGATGACCATAACTGGATCATCTGTGTGGATCTTAAAATGGTTAACTTTTTTCTTGGTCAACAAAGAGGATACACCAAATATCCATGTTGAAGTGATTCTGGAAATCATTGTAATTAAATCCCATTTTATGGAGATTGATCGAAAATTGGTGTAGGCTGTAGAGCAAAAACCTAGACATGATAGGCATTTGATATTAAGTTCATCACCCACAAAAGAAACCAGTGTCAGATACAAGTCAGCAGAAGTTGTGCTGATAATGTAATGAATACACAAGAATATCCACTCCTATCTTTCACCACAGTCATATATACAACCTCTCATCTCAACAAGTACGTCTCATTTTATACGTTATGGTCCCCAACGTACAAATTACAAGGTCTATGAGAAGTAGCGGCTCACAAATAATATCCATGTTTTCTATGCATCGGTAGGTTTGGATACGAGAGTTGCTTGAGTTCGTGAGTTTCTGGTTATAACGCTTTGTATTTTGTACGTTGAGGTAAATCAAGAGAACGGCCTGAAATATAGGCGTTGTGTGAGTGTCAGGCCAGAGTACAAAACCTATTACAGTTCAGTAAATGGTAGCAGATAAAAGTAGATTATACTACACGAGTTGAACCCCCAATATAATAGATATAATACCCCAATACCAGAGGGTTATTGTGGATCAATAAACATAATGATATTATTTATCCTTGCACAATAATAACTCAATAAAGTTGCTTTTATAATAAATTCACCTAACTAGGCTATAACCCCTAATATAAAGTGTTTGTATCATATAGAAATATATAACACTAGCTTATAATATAAATTAGTGCACACTATCGTGACTGACCATATAAACACCAAAACTGGCAACAATCACTAAGTAACGTAGAAGTAAAAGT